TAGAGTCAGCAATCGGAAGTCCTTATTTCACACATCTTAGCGACACCTACTTCGAATGGCTGGTTCCAGCAGCTCAGTGCACCACCAATAGTGGATGCCAGGATTTTCTCTCCGAATTGGAGTTTTTCGTCCTTCGGCTTTCCGTTGACCTTTCGGATGCTTTCTTCCGCAAACCGCGATATACCAATCCGAGAAGACCAGCCTGTAACCTGTCGTAGCGCGACGGCGTTAACGCCTTTGTTCACTCCACGAATTCCTTTCTCGCGAATAATCTGAAAGAACATTTCCAGAGCTCCGGGTACTCGGGCACCTCCGACACTCATCTTTGAGCGGGTCACTTCAACTGTTTTCATGCATGTCGTCATGCCCATCGTGAGATACGATTGTGCAACGCCACCGCCAATGCCACCCAGTGCACCGCAGATCGTAGGGGATGCATTGAGCTTTGTTCTGGCTTGATACTCGATCTCACTTGATGTTACTATCAGAATGGCGCCTTTGGTGGAGGCTTCTAGCCAAGCCTGTGGCAATTAGTATGGAAATGTGCCTAGGCGAGGGGGTTAGATGAAAGAGATACGTACCCAAGGTATTAGCCCTTGATAAAAAGCCAGAAATCTTCCGCGGGACCAAGTCTTCTGTAATGCATCCCGCAATGTGTCTTGCCGGTTTGCTGCCAACTGGAAGGGTAAGTCGTCCGGACTAACTCCAATTAGTATGGATGAGAGTCAAGCATACATGGGTTTTGATTACTTCTAGCGGCTGTCCAAGAGACGTAACTGCGTAGAATTAGAAAGGTTCTTGGCAAGTAGAGTTTCTCATTACCTTGAAAGATGTTCATTAACGCGCCGACGGCCAAGTTCCGATAGGGAATGGGGCGCTTTTGCTCGGCATTGCCTTGCAAAGTCGGGGTATTCGTAGCTACTGCTTGTGACATGTTTCAAACGTTATTTCTCCAATGAAGAGAACATTTTGTCGAATCAATTGCTGCAATTAAAGCTCTAATGATTGACCGACCGTCGTGATGCTCGTCGGATGCATCCGATGCGCACCTCGGATGTATCGGCTTTCCCGAAGAGGGGTGCCGCCGGGATCAACCACATACCATTGATGCCAAGGAAGGGGATGCGTAGGAAGTGCAGCGTTGAGGCACAGGAACTTGCGATGTTAATATCAAAGCTCAATAGTCTGCGTGGGCGTCTACCGCAATTCATGGTTTACCAACCGGCTACCTACACAATGCTGTCACAAGCTCTAGCCACCCATGAAAGGCACTCTAATACACCGTAGGTACATCCGGAAACTACAGCCGTTGAAGCTAATCCATCTAGATTCCTTCTCTCAACGGAGTCATTCGATACACATGTCCATGTATTCGATCCCAAGCTAGGCCCATATGCTGCAGGGAGAGCATATACCCCCGAGGATGCACCGCTGCAAAAGTTACTGGCGTTGAATCAGAGCCTAGCAAGGGATTACAACAATACTACTCTTGTCTTGGTTCAGCCATCGCCTTACAAGAATGACTGCACGGTTATGATGCATTGCCTGCGAGATTTGAGGGATAGAGGCATCAGATCGTTTGGAATCGCAGTGTTAGATCTCGACACTATTACCGATGCGCAGCTGAACGAGATGCACGCCCTTGGCGTGCGAGGTATTCGACTCAACTTCCAAGCCGATGGGAAAGATGTCGACATTACACATTTGATAAGCCTTTTGAACCGTACTGCAGACCGCATACGCTATTTTCCCAGCTGGGCGATTCAGTTGTTCGTTCCAGGATGGACATGGGACCGTGAGTACTTATCTACTAATGACATTGTATAACAGCTATCGTGACTGATATGCTACAGTTCTGCATGATGCTGTTCGTGAGCTCCCCGTAAAGGTTATTGCAGACCATCTAGGTGGCTTGCGTGGCACATCCAAGCTACCTTCGGAGTTACAATCGACGCCAATGTCCCAACCGGGATTCCGCTCCCTCTTGTCATTAGCAAGGCGATCGATTGTGTACGTAAAGATTTCCGGTTTATATCGTATGTCAGATCACTCAGCCTCGACCTTTGATGACCTGCAGCCTATCGTGCAGGCAATGGCGAGAGAGATTCCTGATCAGGTTATTTGGGGAAGCGATTGGCCACACACGGGCGATGGACACAACAGGGTAAAAAGGTCAATAGAAAGCAAAGAACCATTTAGGATGATCGACAACCATGCAATTCTCCAAAGATTGCATGACTGGATGGGAGATGAGGCCTACTGGAAGATGATGGTGGATAACCCGGGCCGACTGTATATTGATTGAGCATTTACTTTTGTTACACAAGCGCATCACTGAGCAGAGACCATCAAACTCAGGCAGCACATGAGTTTCTGGGAGAATTTAGCTATCCTATGAGTGCAGCCACTCAACACGAACATCAGTAAACGAAGGCCTTACGCAGAGTATAAATAGACGGCTTAGTAATAAGATGCCAAGCCCGAGGCTCTTCGTTCTAGAAACAGAGACGAAGTGCAATTTCCATCCTGCGCATGAGCCTCATTGTATCCTCAACAGCTACACTACTGTACGCTGAAGTGCCATAGAAGCTATGGCTTCGATGAGTGAAAGTCCATCGGGCTCAACCCCTCGTCGTCATCGTCGAGGTTTACCTCGAAGTGTGGCGGCATGCCAACGGTGTCGACGACGCAAGCAAAAGGTCAGTGACATACCATAAAGTCAAATTATCACTCACTAAAGCTGTCAGTGTGATGGAAGAATGCCAACTTGCGGCTCATGTGCTGCTGCTGAAACGACATGCGTCATGTCGGATAGATTAGTGATCCGTCACCCATCTCTGAATTGTGATTGTGATGCCCTACGGGCCCAACTTGCTGCTGCTGAGCGACGAAGTAATGAGCTGTCTGAAAGGTGTCAGCAGCTAGAGACCCGTTTGCCCGATTCTCTCAGTACTGTTCGATCTAATGACTCTGGAACCCCAAGTCCCAATCCTCCATTACCTGGGCATAATTCTGCCGAGGCTATATCTCAGTCTGACCAACTGAGAGGGAATCCAGATTGTCGCTTCCTTAGTCGGATACTGAGACCAACCTTCTCACTGCAACTTAGCTCTAGAAGAGAGAACCGCAGTGCTATGAGCAGCGCTTGGGAGATATGGGGTGATGTCACAGATATCGAAGTTTCTGAAACAGATGGTTTTAGTATCGACAATGACACGTACATTAATCTGGCTGGCGCGTTTTTCGATAGGCGATGGCCATATTTACCAGTATTACATCGGCATACATTCGTCAACCAACACTTGACACCCTTTCTGACGAAGTCTGAGATGAGGCCATTGACCAGTTTCATGGTTAACATCGTCTGTGCCATTGCGTCAACAGAGAAGTCATCACCCCAAACTCGCGACAAGACCCATCGGGTATTCTTCAAAGAAGCCATAAAAGACCTGGACCTGGTTTTGAGCGGCGAGAATATTGAATGTGTTCAGTGCCTTCTTCTACTGTGCATGTATGGCCATAATGAACCCCAGTCAGTCAATATGTGGTTCACAACCGCTATGGCCCTCAATATAGCCATCGGCCTTGACCTTCAACGCAAGGAGAGCATTTCTGGGAAAGACATCATGGATGCAGAGATGTCTAAACGTGTATTCTGGTGCGCGTACGTGATTAATTGCAGTGTGGCTATCAACATGGGCCGACCCTTGGGAATCCAAGAGTCAGATATCAGCATGCCTTTGCCTATGCAGCTGACGGATGCCCAGCTCATTGAATCTATACAGAGCCCCAATGTCGAGGAGTCAGTGATACCGCATGTGGCTGACACGTCAACATTTGTCCACATTATTAAGCTCCGTCGAATCAACGCCGGTGTTTACAAGACATTTCATTCCATCGGTTCTGTCCCAACTGATCCTGCTGACCTGGATCGGCTTCGCAGTGCTTATTTTCTGGAGCTGAATCAGTGGATAATAACAGCGCCACGCTATATGCAAACTTTATCTACTTTCCAGTCCACTGAGTGGTTCCAGATTGCTTTCCATCACGCCGTTCTTTCACTTTACCGTCCCTCACGTGCGGTCCCAATGCCATCACCAGATGATCTGCGGACCTGCACTGAGTCTGCCATTGGTCTGATAAGCTCATATAGCGCATTGTACGCGCGGAATCGCATCAAATATACGTTCATCGCAATTCACTCGTTGTTCTTGGCAGCCGTGACAATGCTGTATTCTCTGAGAGCGTTTGCACCCTTGCGACAAGAATTGACCAAGCCGGTGATTCAAACGAATATATCTACATTTCTTACACTCTTCCGGGGCATTTGCGATGGACGTGCGGTCGGAGAAAAATGTTGCAGGATTGTTGAGCGGCTTGGCCAGTCGATTATGTCCTTATTCGAACATGGAAATCAGGCAGACTTGAGTATTGATACCGAGTTCCAAACCTGGTTTGGACTTAGGGCACACACGTTTCCCTCCAAGGCTAGCAACCCAGCCTCAGATGCCTATGCTCATGACTCACCGTCACGTCTTCCTGACGTTCAAATGGACCTCCCATGGGCTGACCTATTTATGGAGGGAGTAGATATGAGCACAGCAGATGTTTGGAGCGTTCTGTTCTAATGTTTCTACGGAGAGTGGGGAGTGATGTCGAGCTAATTGAAATGTATCAAGGTGGCGCTGGGGGTGATTTTCATCCACCACTTGCCCGTCGGCTTCTATATTAACCGGACTGAATTGGAAAGAGGTCTCAGATCCACAACCAGGATCAATCGATCAATCGTGCGGCAAAATCTAATCATGACAGTTTTCTGCTTCAGGCCCAATAAGATCTGTCGCGGTCTAAATACCCTCGGGTCAACGGCTTAGGCCCGACGCCGCAGATGAGATTTTGCCGATGCTAGTCAGGCTAGCTGGTTCTGTAATGTGCATCCGACATTCAAACTGTCCACGTAAACGTATTTCTCATGCTAGGCACTGGGTATACCTGTGTCTCTTGGTGAGGGGTGGAGTGGAGACACCCATGAAGCGATTCGCGATCGGATGAACCGATGAGCGCGGCTGTAACCGGTTAATTTGTTACGGATGGATCCGATGGTAACTCTAATTCCTGTCCTGGAGACAACATTAAAAAACACCCAATCATTTGCACAAACGTTGTTCCAAACCATCAAACCACCATCATGTTCAAATATACCTATCGAAATCAGGTCGCTTTTAGCGCTCGGCGCTATTTGTCGAAGCAACACTCCCTTCCTGCGGCCTATTACCGCGGAGGCACCTCGCGCGCCGTCATGTTCAATCAGGCCAATCTCCCTCCTCGCTCGGAGTGGGACGCCATCTTTCGCTCCGTCATTGGCAGCCCTGATCCATACGGACGGCAGCTTGATGGTCTGGGAGGGGGTATCTCCAGCCTCTCCAAGGTATGCGTGGTGGGGAAATCCACCCACCCCGATGCCGACGTTGATTACCTTTTTGTGTCGTTGGGGGTCAAAAATTCCGATGTTGATTACTCCAGCAACTGTGGCAATATGATCAGTGCCATTGGTCCCTTTGCCCTTGACCAAAAGCTTGTTTCTTCCCAAACGCCCGAGTCGGCTACTGTACGCATCCACAACACCAACACGGGGAAAATAATCACTGCCTCCTTTCCCGTGGTGGACGGCGAGGCTGCCTCTAGTGGCGACTTTGCTATTGATGGCGTTGCCGGCACAGCTGCTCGGATTCAACTAGATTTTGTCAATCCGGCTGGCTCGGTGACCGGGAAGATGCTGCCGACGGGGCAGACAAGGGACGAGTTCGACGGTGTTTCAGCCACATGTATTGACGTGGCCAATCCATGCGTTTTTGTTCCAGCTAGCAGCTTGGGCGTCCGTGGTGACTTGACTCCAGACGAGATTGCCGCTCATCCCGACCTTCTGCAAAGGCTGGATTCTATCCGGCGCCAGGCGGGGGTCAAGATGGGTATAGCACCGACTACCGATGCTGTTCCAGGAAGTATTCCCAAGGTCTGCATGGTGTCGCCACCTCAGGAGTCTAAAGCGAAGGACTCTGTCGACCTGCTTGTAAGGGCCATCTCTGTGGGACAGCCACACAAGGCAGTTCCCATCACTGTCGCGTTGGCTGTTTCTGCAGCTGCTCGCGTGGGAGGTAGCACTGTTGAGGATGCAACCAACAAAGATCGCGTCAGTGATTCTGGTCTTACAATTGGTCATGCGAGTGGGAATCTGCTTGTTGGAGCCAAGTTCGAGGAGGATCAGCTTACGGCGGCAACTGTCTTCCGTACTGCGCGTCGTCTCTTTGAGGGCCAGATTTATTGGAAGAGTTAAATAATTCGAAACCAGAAATTCAATGTAACGTGCTTGAAGTTTTCTCTCATTGTTAAGCGGGGGCAGTCGCCAGTAACGATTGTAATGGTACTTTGCTATAAACGTAATATTAGTACAATATAACTTGTCGGTACATTTGACAGTGGCCAGGCACCCACCAAGTACTTCACCTCTGCTGTTTATGTGTTTCCTTCTTCTCCCCAAGGGGGTCTCTTTTCAGGATTGAGGAACCTAAGATAGACATAATGCAACTTTGCGTTGGCACTGTCTCTCGATATCAAGATCTCTACTGAGTCAAAGTATCTTGCGCCTGGCTGCTCCAAAACTTCACTAAGTATGATCATGAGACGACTGTGCACTAGTCAGTGATCTGCATATCACTCCATATAAACCACAATATCTTATTGGCCCATTCGCCACCGGTGAGTCGTTTAGCAAAGTCTGTCGGAGCATCCGATGGGAAATGGGTGCAAAGATACTCATACCCACCTGGGGTGCCAAACCCACACCTGATTATTAGGCGATCGAGACGAGGGACAGGAAAGACAACGCCATACAGCCATAAATATCATCCAATCAAACAGGGGTAAATACAATGACCTGAATCGATCATGTCATGAGGTATCTGCACCCCGCTTTTTCTTCCTTGACTCCAGACGCTCTTCCCCACGGGGGATCAGACGTAGAGTACTTAAGCCGCCGAGTAATTCTATGAAGCAGAGGACACACAAGAAAGCAACGTGAAAATGGTAGGCCTTACTCTCCCTCTGGTTGGCACCCAGCTACAAGTCGCTCTGGTACTTCTCATCGTTGCTCCTTCGTTCATTCTCTTCGGATACAACCAAGCGGTCTTGGGCAGTCTACTCAGCCTCCGAAGTTGGGTGTCAGTGTTCCCAGCCATAGACACTATAAACACCTCGGGTGCAAAAAAGTCCCATAACTCGACATCCCAGGGTGCATGCAATGCCTCGTTTCAGATGGGGTGTCTGATCGGTGCTCTATCCCTTTCTCTGTACGGCGACAAACTCGGACGTCGAAAGACAGTTTTCATCGGAGCTGTGATCACCGTCGTCGGTCAGGCTCTGCAGGTCTCCGCAACCACATTGATCCAGTTGGTCGTTGGACGAGTTATCCTAGGGTTCGCTATTGGCCAAATCAGTGGCACGGTACCTGTATGGCTATCGGAATGTGCCTCGCCGAAGTACCGCGGACAACTGGGTATCTGTACGGGTATCTTCATCAGTACGGGATACACATTGTGCAACTGGATTGATTTGGGATTCAGCTATTTACCCCCTTCCACTGGACAATGGAGAGCTCCGCTAGCTATTCCCTTCCTCTTCTCGGCAATGATACTAGTTTCTGCTTTCACATTCCCGGAGTCACCTCGTTGGCTGGTATCTAGAGGCCGAGTCGAAGAAGCCACAACTAGTCTGTGCCGCTATCGAGGGAAGGATGCGCATGATGAGATGATTATGGGCGAGATAGCCCATATTCAGCTTGCTTTGGAGGGGAGTGGGACCATGTCCGTCCTGGATATCTTCGATCGCAAGGACAAGACGCGTCTCTTGTTGCGCTTTTGGCTCTGCATGGGGCTGAACTTCTTCCAGCAGGTGAGTTGGCGACCCTTTGAAAGACTTCAATTTGTATATGTCTCCACCGCTAATTTATCAGGCCTGCGGAGGTAACCTAATATCCGTTTACAGTTCCACTATCTTCGAAAACTACCTACACATGACGCCCACCATGTCTAGAGTCCTAGCGTCCTGCGTACTATCATGGAAAACTCTCTGCTGCATAATAACATTCTGGACTATCGACAACTGGGGCCGTCGTCTATCCTTCATGGTAAGCGGAGCCGGTATGTCCGTTTGCATGGCCGTGCTAGCCGTCACCACCGGCTTGGGCAAAATCACGCATCCAATGGCGATAGCATACGTTGCCTTTATGTTTGTCTTCAACTTCTTCTACCCAATCGGCTTCATGGGTGGCAACTTTCTCTATACAGCTGAGATTGCGCCCGTGCGTCTGCGAGCGGCCATGTCTTCGCTCGCAACTGCTAACCACTGGCTATGGAATTTGGTGGTCGTCTTAGTTACGCCGGTTGCTATTGATACGATTGGGTGCTGGTACTACGTGATCTATGCGCTCATATCTGCGACGATACCAGTCTGCGTGTACTTCTTTTATCCGGAGACGATGCACCGTAGTCTGGAGATGCTGGATCGGGTGTTTGTGGATGCCCCTTCTATCTGGAAGATTGTGCCGATGGCCAGGGGGTTGCCGCTCGGGGAAGTCGGCACAGCAGAGAGTGGAGGTAAAGTGTCTGAGGAGAAAAAAGCGGATGATGCTGATGGTATTGTTGAGATGAGGGAATATGTCTAGTTGGATAAGCTGGACTGCGTTGCTATTGTCATTAGTTGTTCCTCGCATAGAGGAGATGCGATGTGCTCATCGGCTCAGCCGACGGAACCATCCGATGCCGCCACCAGGATGACCGAGGTGTAAATCAGCCACAGCTGGAGTTGTTACATAAACCTTTGTGATTTATTTATATCTTCTGTCTTATCCAATAAATTACCCTTGTTTACCAATGCATCAGCAAGATGATTAGAACACGAGTGAGCGGTCCCAAGTTAGCCAGAGGCTATGCCTCACACACCCAAGTGCCAATCAGTCGACTTGAACAACACAAAATAAACATATCCCAATTCCCTTCCGCCATTCAATCACTCAGAAAGCGGTAACTACTCATCCCACCTACACTGAACCATTAGCGCCCTACTAATATCCACCCTTAGATACAATCGCCCTCTAACATATGCCGAAAAAGTCCTCTACAGCCACCTCGACACCACCTTCGACGAGCGCATCGAGCGCGGCAAGACCCAACTCAAACTACGCCCGCAACGTATAGCATGTCAAGATGCGACAGCCCAAATGGCTCTCATCCAGTTCATGTCCGCCGGACTAGACACAGCTGCCGTGCCCACGACAGTCCATTGTGATCATTTGATCGTCAGTCGTGACGGCGAAACGCAGGACCTCGCGCGAGCGCTCGACAATCATAAAGAGGTGTACGATTTTCTCGAGTCCGCATGTCAGAAATACAACATGGGTTTCTGGAAGCCTGGCGCAGGAATCATTCACCAGATTGTACTGGAGAACTACGCCTTCCCTAGTGGGATGATGATCGGCACGGATTCGCATACCCCCAATGCGGGAGGTCTGGGCATGATAGCTATCGGAGTCGGCGGTGCTGATGCTGTGGACGTGATGGCTGGATTGCCACTGGAGCTGCAAGCGCCCAAGGTATTGGGTGTTCGTTTGACGGGGGAGTTGTCCGGATGGGCATCGCCGAAGGATATTATCAATGCCGTTGCTGGGACGCTTTCGGTCAAGGGAGGAACAGGGTCCATTATTGAGTACTTTGGACCTGGGGCGCAGACTTTATCGGCTACTGGAATGGCAACGGTTTGCAATATGGGTGCAGAGACGGGTGCCACGACGTCCATATTCCCTTATGCGCCACAGATGGCGGATTATCTTCGTGCTAACCATCGCCATGAGATGGCTGATGCGGTTAAGAGCATTGCGCCGGAGCTGCAGGCTGACCAGGGGGCTGAGTATGATAATGTCATTGAGCTGGATCTGTCAGCTCTCGAGCCACGCATCAATGGACCTTTCACGCCGGACTTTTCTACGCCGGTTTCGCGGTTCGGTGAAGCCGCAGCGGAGAATCAGTGGCCGGGTGAATTGACTGCAGCTTTGATTGGTTCGTGTACTAACTCTTCATTTGAAGATATGGGACGTGCAGCTAGTCTCGCTCAGCAGGCATTGGATGCAGGGTTGGAACCGAAGATGCCGCTTTTGGTATCCCCGGGTAGTGTTCAGACGCGCGAGACGTTGAAAGATGCTGGCATCTTGCCAGTCTTTGAGAGACTCGGTGCGACGATGCTTCCCAATGCCTGTGGACCATGCTGTGGGTCTTGGGATAGAGTTGACATGCCAAAGGTATAGTATTGCCATTCCATTTCCCACACGACTTTCATGTCTAACGGCATAACCAGGGCACCCCTAACTCCATCATAACCTCCTACAACCGGAACTTCTCCGGTCGATTGGACTCCAACCCAGCAACCAACGTATTCCTAGCATCCCCCGAGCTCGTCATTGCAAAGGCCTTCTCCCGCGACCTATCCTTCGATCCAACCACCGACAAGCTCCCTACACCCTCCGGCGAGCAATTCCATTTTCTCCCGCCAACCAGTGACTCCCTCCCCTCAAAGGGCTACCTCTCCTCCGACTCAGCCTACGCACCCCCACCCGCAAACCGAGACAACATCTCCGTCAAAATTGACCCTTCATCTCTCCGCCTCCAAAAGCTCTCCCCATTCCCACCCTGGCCTGGACACGACTTCGAGAACTGCGCTATCCTGATCAAGGCAGCCGGAAAATGCACAACAGACCACATTACCCCGGCCGGTCCATGGTTCCGCTACCGTGGACACCTCGAAAACATCTCCAACAACACGCTAATTGGGGCAACCAATGCCGAGAACGGCAAGGTGAACAGTATTCGGAACCAGCTCACGAAGCAAGACGGACAGGAAGTGCCCGCTACAGCACGTCACTACAAAGAAAACGGCGTGCCGTGGGTGGTCATCGCAGACCATAACTACGGCGAGGGCAGTTCGCGGGAGCATGCGGCGCTGCAGCCGAGGTATCTAGGTGGTGTGGCGATCATCGCAAAGTCCTTTGCGAGGATTCATGAAGCGAATCTGAAGAAGCAGGGATTGTTGGCGTTGACGTTTGAGAATGAGCAGGATTATGATAGGGTTAGGGCCGAGGATCGGATTAGTATTATGGGGCTTGGAGAAGGGGAGTTTGTTCCGGGGAGCAGTTTGAGGTTGGTGGTTAATGGAGGCGAGTGGGAGGCTGTGCTCAGACATAGTTTTACCGAGGAGCAGATTGGGTATTTTAGGAGTGGGAGTGCGTTGAACCTGATGGCAGGGAAGTAGTTACATGTTGTTTATAGTCGATGTGTAATAATACTAAGCAAATCATAAATCGCCCAACGCCAGCACTATCCTCCGCAACGCCTCCTCAAGATACTCCCTCGGGTGCGTGAACACGATCCTGAACCACCCACTATGCTCAGATCCAAACAACACCCCACTAGCCAGGAAGACCTTCCTCTGAAGCAGAAGCTGCATCACCTTGTCGCTGATTCCGTCACCCAAATCTGCAGTCTGCTCCGGATGTAATTCGCGATACCTCTTACCCAGGTTAACCCAGAGGAAGAACGCAGCATTTACCCCCGGAGCATATTCAATCCCATTTTCCCTGAGTCGCTGAACAGCAAACGCATATGACTCAGACATCCTCTGCCGATTAAGCTCGATATACCTCGCAGTAAAGGCCGTATCTTCAAGGACCGTAGCTGCGACGTGTTCCGAAACAGACGAGGAATAACTATACAACGACACGCCCTGCAACGCTTTATGCAGAGTGGGGTTATTTTGGGAGATAATCACACCCAGTCTGATACCATTGGCTCCAAAATCCTTGCTCATTCCCCACAGTGCATGGACTAGACTAGGGTCAATGATGCCAGCTGTGTCGATGGACAAGGAGGACTCGAACGGCACGGGAATATGCTCGTCAACGGTATTCTCCCACACAGACAGCGCATATATCTCATCGCTGATCAAATGAATCTGATATTTCTGACACAGCCGCATCAGATGAATGATAGTTTCCCGGGGGTAGCACCGCCCCAACGGATTATGCGGATGACAGAGCATCAAGGCGCGGACTTTCCGGCCGGTGTTCTGCTGGAACGCGAGAAGTGCACGCTCGTAGCAGTCCACAGCCTGGAGACTAAATGGATCGCAGTCGTCGAATTCTACAGGGACGACTGTCGCCCCAGGGCGGAGGGACATGTCTGGGATGAAGGTGCCGTAGTAGGGTCTGCCCAGGAGGATGCCTTCGCCGGGGTCGGTGAAAGCCCATGAGATGTGCTCAATGGCGGAGGAGACACCGTTTGTGACGAGGAGGTCGTTGATGGTCAGTGGTTTGAATGGTTGAAGGTGTTTGTTGAGGAATGATACCATGGCGCGTCGGAGGCGCTCTGCGCCAATGGCACCATCGTTGTAGGTGAGGTATTTGGCTGGGAGGGTGAGTTTCGTGGTGTTGATGTATTCCAGCAGGTAGTCATGCATCAGTGCGTTTTCGGCAACCCCTACGTTCACGTAGCCGTCGGGTTTGGTTGTAGGACACCATGGGTTCTTGAGGATGTCCCACATCAGGTTGTTGGATGAGGTGACGACTGTGCGGGCTCGGTTGGAGAGAGGGGAGGGATCCATGTTGGTGGATGTATGGGTTGTATGCTACAATTGGGGTGGTTTGGTGATTGAGATGGGCTTTGGGTGCCAAAAGAGAAGTGAGGATGTGACACACGTGAGGGGGGAATCCACTGGATGAGGCGGATAGCTGTGGATCGATCCTTGGCAGTTCTAGGAAATCACGAAGAATTGGGCATAGGTAACTGTCGTATGAGGCTATTCAAGGGGTCGTATTGGTACTGGTACTGTTGATGCGGAACTGATCCAGACACAGCGTAGACACCTTACATTCCACAGCTTCGATGCCCCAGAAAATTTGTGAATTACATCACGGTGAAGCAGGTGAACCGAAATCTGGTTTGTGTTTAATGGTTCGCTTAGTCTTGACTCAAGGTTGGTCGGGAACCTAATATCCCCACCATGAATGATCCGGTGGAGAAAGTTTACGGCAGATGAAGAACTGGTGTGGAATACCGGAGGGTGTGTGGTTCGGCAGACCGAACTCGGTGAAGTGGGTCATGAAGGGTTTCTCTTTGTCAAACTTTGTGGATGCTTCATGATATGGGTGACAATCACCTCTTTTAATCTACACTGAGGACAGGAATGCCAGCCTAAAGAGGGGCGATCACCGCCATCCCACTGTGGCTGGTAATCCCTTGCGGGAGACAGTTCTAGTAGGGACAGATAGTATACCTTGTGACCTCTGTGGCACATCACGCCTTAGATATCCTGTCTGATGAATGCGTCTCGAAGCATGTGCGGTGATCTATGTTCTCGGGTTGCCTTCGTATTGCGACTTTCCGGAATTTTGGTGGAGAGTGCCATTTTCGCATGGCTTTGAGGAACATGTTGATATGATGATAATCACCTTGACTTTGTCGCGGAAGGAATTTGAGTGGTACTAAATTTTGGAGGTGGTTAGCTAGCCGTTATGGAATTGAATTGATGGTAGATGACAGGGAACCAAATGTAGATAAGTGCGTCCGTTCCGAAAGGTTATCAAAAGAATCCATTAGATAGTAATCAGCGTGCTCAGCCCTGATATTTTATCCCAGGTTTTGGAAACGTCGAAAATATGTTGGTATTACAAGTTAACCACAGCAATATTAAGAATGATCAATTGCTGGCGTTCGAACCTTGCGGAAAGGGTTTCCTTATGCCGGGGACAACAAGTCAATTATCTGGGATGTTGTCAACCATTAGCAGACAAAATTTAATACCCAAAAAGTCCGGAATACATAGTTCTGCTGTATCTGTTACTCATAGTAGCTCTCGCTAGCTTAGACATCTCACTGTCAACATGCAGACTTCTTGACTGCTTACAAACGTTTGATACAAGAGGAATGAGAAACAAGCTAAGAGTCCATATTGAACTGCTATATCAAATTACTAACTAGCCTGAGAACACAAGCAGCATTGGATTGTGGTAGTGTGCACGCACTGTAGCTAACACTATGTATGCAAAGATCCATGGGGGCCGACTAGCTATCCCTCTGATAACTTCAGAATGTCCATACTATGGTTTGCGTGTTCGAATTTCATGGCGGTGACATCGTCTTCTCCAGTTCCTGTTCTCGCGGATTATCTCTGAATGGGTCTTCGAAGATGAAATCAGGATCAGGAGAGAGCGCCCGTCGAGGTTTATAGTTGGGCTCCGGGTATTCAACCCAAAATTGATTCTCCACGTCTTGACAGCTGTACTCGTCGCCACGGCGAACACGGGAATAAGCCCGTCTCGGTTGCCAAGAGGCAATAAGGGCAGCACACGTTCGAAAGTACTCCGGAAGATCCACCTCTTGATACGACCGATGATAAGCCCGCCTACTGTAAGACTCATCTTCATCAGATCTATCGACCTTTGGCCAGTGGTTATAATCGTGATAACAAGCCCGACAGTATGTTCCAGACTCCAAGGTTTTGGTTTCATTATCCCAGTAAGGGAATGGAGCGGTAGCCATGAATTGTAATTGGTGGCAGTCGCCTTCATACCAAACAGTCACGCTCGGACGAGGATTGAGTGGAGGACGAGCGAGCGGACGTCTAATAAATGTAGACCTCCGGGGTTCCCATTCCGAGAAAGTCGCAAATTCTCTCTTCATGGTACGACGTGCTTCATGTGTTTTGCTCTGTGATCCTTCGAGCCCGTGGAGTAGCACAGCTATCGCATCACTCTGGGAGACGCTTGCCAGACGGACCCCAGGTTCCCACACACTGTGGACAATCGGAATATCCCCAAGGTCTGTCTCCTTCAGATCGAAGTAAAAACAGATGTCCTTCACGCGGGCGATCCTGTACAATGGATTGTGATAATTGCAGTTGTAACAGCAGCGCTTGAGTGTTGGAAGGTGGAGGTATGGTCCGAAATCATGGCAGGTTCGACACAAAGGTTGGGTAAACTCGTCATAGAGCTGTTCAGTGGTGTAATGGTGAGAGAGACGCATCTTGTCCATCAGATGCAGTGTTTCAAATGCATTTTCTCTGAGCAACCGATAGGGACGGAGTGATAGAACTTGAGATTCTGATACTGCATCGACCAGAAGCAGGTTGCCCAGGCTAGCCACGTCCAAATAGAGAAGGATGTGATGGATAAGTTCAAGGGGAAGAAAATAACCAAGAAAGAGATTGAGACCAGCATTTGATTGTCTGCTGTCCTTTGACAACACATTCTCAACTGTTGGCTGCGGGGGTTGTGGCTTCTGATAATTGAAAAACCCAAAGACCTTGCTGATCGGGTTCTCGATCCGGTAAGCAAAGCCGGATGCCATGATGTAAGATATGAGACTTTAAAGAATGGTAGACTGGATTGACAGAGTGAGTTAGACTATATTGATGATGTTATATCAGGTGAGATAGAGAACAAGTCCATACCAAGCGGAGGATGCACATGTAGGGTGCACAGTTTTGTGATGGCAGGAGTGTCAAGGGACTCTCCAGATCACAACGTGAGTGAAATTTTAGACCATGAATCGTCGCGGAAACACTATGGTAGCACCAGCAACAACTTGGACCCGAATCCAATCTGTGAAATGGTATTGCTACACAATACCGTCAATACTTGATTGACTAGTGCTGAATGCAGATCTTATTGTACAATAGGGGATTGCTTATAGAGATTTTCGACTTTCCCTGCCAGCATCTACGTTAGGCTAATATTTATTCACGAAGCACTGTTGACTGCGATAGACAGCCACTGTTGACCCATGTTTCATATTTGGCTTGATAAGGGAGGCTGAGATGCTGTTAGTATGGACAATATGAATACTGACCGAGTTACGTGATCTTTCCCTAGTAAGATGCTCGCGAGGACATAGGAAGCACTCATTCAGGTCTGTTATGCTGACACCCCTATACAATTACTTGATGTAAAATATTCTTCAATCTTATCTATAATATGGGCTTCTTAGGTACACACTTTTCAATCTACCATCCTGATATCTCGCAGGGTGCGTCTAATAAAATCTACTATTCCTGCCCACCCTCATTCATCATATGAGCTGCGTTGTGGATGTTTATGGATGGGATAACATCTCCTTTTCCTGGAAGGTTCGCGTGCAGGGCAGGAACACCCGCGTAATGGGGAAATTTAACACTGCGACTGTTGGTGGAAATGGAAATCGCTTGCGGGAAGCAGTTAAATCAGTGGCAACAATAGCATACCTGATTATCTCCGTGAC